AAATCAAATGTTATCTGAAAACAAAAAACTGAAAAAAGAGAGGCGAGTACTTTTATTTTAACGCTCAAAAGACATAATTTTCAAATAGATGTGGAAAAAAAGAACTGCAATACGATGGGAAATGCTGCCACGGTTATGTAATAGTCGAAGGCAGTGGAAAAGACGGGTGAAAGAGGAGGAATGAAGTGATGACAAAGTACTGGTTTTAAAATTCCTCGGAACGAGTTAGACTGCTCTAAATTTACGTGAAATAAAGTAAATTCCGAAGTGTTGATTCAGTAAGTGTTATGGAACTTTTAGAGACATAAACAGTGAATATCTGTGACCAGGAGATTGTATGAGGATGAAGGGATTAAAATCGTCTACATACGTATCTGGTTAGCCTTACTACCTCGCTGTGGAGAAAAACACATGGTCGAACTTTGATAATTTAATAATTTAGATCTGGCATATAGGCAAGTCTGTATTTACTGTGATTTGGTAGCCTGTCCGTGTTTCATCCCTTAGCTGTAAACACAGATAGTAGAATCGTTGCGAAATGGGGTGGGAATCATCATTATGTCACGGGCCGAGGATAATGGCCGAGATGGGTGATGGGCTACTGTGAAATTAAAGGAGACCGGTAAACAGAGAGGATGAAGGTGAGGTTAAGAGAGAGGCGAAAGTTATAAAGAGGAGGGCTAAAATAAAGGCTAGGAGGGGACCAGAGGAAAGACTGGGAAGGCGGAATCGGTAAATATTCACGTCGGGTTTTTCTGGGAATTCTCGGATGACGTGGAAAACATGTAAGTTCGTCCCCCAGTTACCTCTTTCCCCTCATTTTTCCCTCATATTATATGACACTATTGCTTGTCGCTTTCTGAACTTGTTTTCCGATAATGTGCAGTAAAATTGCAAACAGAGGGTCATTTTAGGTACAGACATATGACCTACATACACACACATACATACGTACATTCACACATACATACATACATACATACATACATACATACATACATACATACATACACACACCTACATACATGCACACACCTACATACATACATACATACATAGATATCGCAAGTACAAAATAATACCTCTCATTCCCTCATTTTTTTACACACGTCCTCGTCTAGCAGGTAGTTCCGGGTACGGACATACAATAGACACACACACACAAACACACGCACATACACGCGTACACACACATACACGCGCACAGACATATACCGCAAAAACAAATAATACCCTCATTCCCTCACTTTTTTCACACACACCCTCCTTTCTTCTTTTCAAGGTCATCGGGGAGCCGATCCCCTCAGTGGACACAACTCTTACACAGATGTGTAATGTTGCCGTCCACTTCTCTTCGTTCCGTTTTTATCGGCTCCGGTCATTACTATACTTTTCCCAGCTCCCCAAGTCTATTTTTAACGGTTTTCAAATACCACGTCGTTAGGGCCGGGTGAACATGTGGCATGCCGTGAGGAAGAAAATCCGTCAAAAAAAAAACCGTAAAATTTGAACTGTGGCACTTCGAATTCGCGCATTCCGTAGATTTTTCTTGGGGAACCACTAAAAAAAATTACTAAAAATTAGAGAATTACTAAAAAATACGTCGAGGAGTACCAATGGCGACGAAGGCGCTACTGTAGGGAAGAGTTCATTAAGTCAGAAACGAATAAAATGCACCATCCGCCGGAAACGGCCGAACCATTGGATGCAAAACCTCTAATGTTACTAGTTTGCTCTCCCAAATTCCGGGCGGCTGAAATTTTAAGGGAATGTTCCCAGCTCATCTACAGCTTAAAGGGTCTCTTCGGAAGCTGCCCGAGTGGCCGTTTACTTTCTCTTAGCTACCACCAAAAGGGACAGCTGGGAACGGCCAAACTATTGGGTGCAAAACCTCTTATGTTACTGGTTTGCTCTCACATTCCGGGCGGCTGAAATTTTAAGGGGATGTTCCCAGCTCATCTGCAGCTTAAAGGGTCTCTTCAGAAGCTGCCCGAGTGGCCGTTTACTTTCTCTTAGCTACCACCCAAAGGGACAGCTGGGAACGGCCGAACCAATGAGTTCGAAACATCTAATGTGCTACTGGTTTACTCTCCCACATTTTAGATGGTTGAAATTTTAAGAGGATGTTCCCAGCTCACCTATAGCTTAAAGGCCTTTCCGGAGGCTACCCGAGTGGTCGTTTACTTTCTCGTAGCTACCACCAGCGGAACAGCTGGGATCGGCCAAATTATTGGATGCAAAACCTCTAATATGTTACTGATTTGCTCCCACATTCCAGGCTGTTGAAATTTTAAGAGGATGTTCCCAGCTCATTTACAGCTTAAGGGCCTATTCGGGGGCTGCCCGGGTAGCCCAGGTCTTCAAAAGGTAGCCGTCCTTGGCCAGACGTCAGTTGTCTCGATATTATTGCCTGTGACAATGTTGTTGTGCGTGCTAGTGACCGAACGCGATATCCACTCTACGGGTCAGTACAGGAACATTTTTGCAGGGCGATGAATGATCGCGCACAAATTCGTGGCGTTAATTCACCGACAACATCCTATGGTGGTGTCCTGGACACGGAAGTAGCCGCCGGTTCGGCCATACAACCATCCAGCAGCAATGGTATAACAACAGGACCCAGAAAACTCGATAAAGCACCACTAATGAAAGGTCCCTCTTATCAGTATTTTTCGAACAAATTCTCACCGACTACCGAAATTTTACAAAAAAAAATTTAAAAAAATTCAAAATCTTAAAGAATTAAAAAATTCGAAGAACTACAAAAAAATTTTTTAAATTTTCAACTTTTCCTTGAAAATTTTTCAAAAATTGGCATACGTACTCTTTTCACTGTCTTTCGGAAAAGTTCCTACCGACTGCCGAAGTTTTGCGAAGAAAATGCAAAAAAAAAATCGAACTTTTAAACAAGTACAAAAATTCAAAAAATCACAAAAGAAATTTTTAAATTTTTAATTTTTTTCCGGAAATTTTCGAAAATTAGCGCTAGTTTTCTCCTAAAATTGCCGAATTTTTACAAAAAGAAGTAAAAAAAAAAGTTCGAAGTTTTAAACAAGTACAAAAATCCAAAAAATCACAAAGAAAATTTTTAAATTTTTAATTTTTTCTCAAAAATTTTTCGAAAATTAGCGCCAGTTTTTTACTAAAATTAGTTGTTTCTACTAATTTTAAATTCGTTGTTTTTCTCATTATTTTTTTTAAAATTTCTTTTAATAGCAAACATTCGAAATTGCTTAAATTCAAAAAATCACAAAAAAAAAGTTTGCATTTTTAATTTTTTCGAAAATTTTCGAAGATTAGCGCTAGTTTTTTCGTAAAATTAGTTGTTTTTACTAATTTTAAATTCGTTGTTTTTTTCATTATTTTTTAAATTTCTTTTAATAGCGAACATTTGAATAAAAGTTGCTCCCTTTTGTAAAAAGGCCATTTTGCGCTTTCTTTTCAAAAATATTTTTGTACTTTTAACATTTATGACTCACACTGTATTCATGCATTGCTGCTTGCATTTCGATGATTGTGAACAAATCACAGTCATCGAAAGCTCTTATCAATGCTTTTTAACGATGAAATAGGAGTTTCCGGGAAAAAAATAAACATTCATTTGAGTGGCTTCTGAAAAATACGTAACGTACATACATGGGGAGACAGTGCATGCTGACTTGGAAATATTCAGAACAAAGAACCTGGCATAGTTGTCCTCGGCATGTAAAAACATCCCAATAGAATCTATAACATAGCCATACTAAAATTGATTGTCCAGGCGCTCCTGGTAGTCTTGGTGGTTTTGGTAAAAATTTCTTGATTTCTGATTGTTGTTATTCTTGGTACCTGAAATTTTTTGATTTTTGATTACTTAAATCGTTAAAATAATTACTGATGTTAATTTGGTGCTTTAAAATTTCCCTCGAGTTGAAAGTTTTGTCGTCGTAGTACCATTCAAAACACAATAATAATTCTCAACATTTAACAGAGACACCTCAAATCGTCTTAAGATTTTCATAATACTTCCGCCGGGAGAACTGTTGAACAGGCAATTTCTTAAAGAGAAGAAAACGTCATTTTTGCCAGAAAATTGACCATTGGGCGATGCATCACTGATCAAAGAAAATGGGAAACTTGCCAGATCCATTTTTATAAATTTATAAAACTTGCAAAAATTTTAAAGAATTTTAACTATATTACTGGTAAAAAATTTGTAAAAATTTTCCCAGATTGTCGCAAAAACGTATAGTTGGGAAACCAGGCTATAAATTGTAACTGAATAAAATATCTAAGTAAAAATAAGCAGATAAAAGTGAATAACATTAAAATAAGTATTTTTTTTTCGATTGTTTTTGTGTATTTTTTGAGATATGCATGATTTTTTGAACATCTAATCGTTATAGCTTTTGAAATAATCAGTATTTTTTGGTATGATATTGCAAAATGAAAGCGATTTTATGATTTTGTTTTCAAGGTTTCTTCTTTCAAAGACATAAATTTTTTGTTGTGGAGAAAAAAAACAGAATTTTTTTAAGATTCGGATATGCGGATAAACGCCGGTGGGACCTCTTCACGTATGTACGCCGAAGAGCGACCGCATCTTCGTAAGCTTTCTTTTTCTTTCGATTTAACTAAATCTGTCCCCTTTTTTTTGGTTATTTTTGGACATTGGTCATAATATGTAGTGCCTAGATACTAATTTATGGATGAGCTTATCCTAAAAATGCGGGAAAATGTTGTGCCCTGCTTCTCTGGATTCAGTTTGTTGTAAAAATTTGCTTCCTCAGCTTAATTTTTCCATTTTACGAGGATTCGTTCATTCGTTTCGATGGTAAATTGGTACTGGCATATGGTAAAGGGTCAAACTCGCCATTAGCTTGTTTCTGGGCAACTCTCGAAAGAGAGGGCCATCGACAGCCTTGTCAGCGAATGGTTGCTCTTAGCATTTGCTGTTGTCGAGATACCTCAGAATACCTCCCCCTGTCACAAAAACTAAATATGGAAGGAGTATTGGCTATTTTGAATTATTTGTGTACTTTTTTTTAAAAAAGTTTGACTCTGTTTTACAGATTCTGTGGAATTTTCGAACACCGCTAAGCCGAATGGATTGTCCACAATATCTGGTGTATTTGCGCCTGTGGCCATTTCGATGTTCAGTGTTCTGCTGTTCCTTCGGATGGGTAATATTTTATACTTATAATTCGCTATTTTCGTGTTTTAGGTTCACCTCTAAAACGTTCTTCTTACTACTTGATGGCCGTGATTACTTATATACAAAATTTTAATCTTTCTTGCATTTCCGTTGAATTTTGGCGAAAATTTGGATATAAAATGATAGTACAGCAGACATAAGTGTTCCTTGGTGAACGGTGACTATTTGTATATAAAATTTTAACTTTTTTTTGCGTTATGTTAAATTTTGACAATAATTTGAATATAAAACGACTATGGATGAAATTTCATCCAATGAGATAAATAACTAAAGAACGAGGAAGCTGAGGTACTGTAGAGCCAAGATGAGGGAGAAGAGGGTAGGGGAAGCCGGGGGAGAGAGGGTATGAGCGAGGGGAGGGAGAGGGGGAACTACGAACTGGAACTGCGTGGAATTAAGATTTCAATTCGTGGATTTTTTCAGGTTTTGTTGTCGGTCAGTTAGGTTTTCTGCACACAGTTGGCCAGCTTGTTCTTGCTTATACAATTGTCATGTTGACCGTTCTCTCACTCTGTGCTATCTCTTCAAATGGGGCTATCGAAGGCGGCGGAGTGTATTGTAAGTTATTTTACCTTATTTTCCCTTTTTTTTTCTCTTTAT